AAATCCTGGGATTGTCAAATCCTGGAATTGTCCCAAATCCTGGGATTGTCACAAATCCCTGGGTTGTCAAAGTCTGGAACTGTCAGAAATCCCTGGGGTTGTCCCAAATCCTGGAATTGTCCCAAATCCTGGGATTGTCCCAAATCCTGGGATTGTCCCAAATCCTGGGATTGTCCCAAATCCTGGGATTGTCCCAAATCCTGGGATTGTCCCAAATCCTGGGAATGTCCCAAGTCCTGGGATTGTCAAATCCCGGAATTGTCCCAAATCCTGGGATTGTCAAATCCCTGGGGTTGTCCCAAATCCTGGGATTGTCCCAAATCCTGGGAATGTCCCAAGTCCTGGGGTTGTCCCAAGTCCTGGGGTTGTCCCAAATCCTGGGGTTGTCCCAAATCCCTGGAATTTATTTGGGACCATCCCATATCCCTGGAATTTACCCTGAGACCACCCCAAATCCCTGGAATTTACTTGGGATCATCCCAAATCCCTGGGATTTATTTGGGATCGTTACCAACCCCACACCTTGGATTTGTACCTGGACTGCGTTCCCAAATCCCTGGGACCATCCCAAATCCCTGGGACCATCCCAAATCCCTGGGATTTATTTGGGACCATCCCAAATCCCTGGGATTTATTTGGGACCATCCCAAATCCCTGGGATTTATTTGGGACCATCCCAAATCCCTGGGATTTATTTGGGATCGTCCCAAATCCCTGGAATTTATTTGGGATCATCCCAAATCCCTGGGATTTATTTGGGATCGTCCCAAATCCCTGGGATTTATTTGGGATCGTCCCAAATCCCTGGGATTTATTTGGGATCGTCCCAAATCCCTGGAATTTACTTGGGATCATCCCAAATCCCTGGGATTTATTTGGGATCGTTACCAACCCCACACCTTGGATTTGTACCTGGACTGCGTTCCCAAATCCCTGGGACCATCCCAAATCCCTGGGACCATCCCAAATCCCTGGGATTTATTTGGGACCATCCCAAATCCCTGGGATTTATTTGGGACCATCCCAAATCCCTGGGATTTATTTGGGATCGTCCCAAATCCCTGGAATTTATTTGGGATCATCCCAAATCCCTGGGATTTATTTGGGATCATCCCAAATCCCTGGGATTTATTTGGGACCATCCCAAATCCCTGGGATTTATTTGGGACCATCCCAAATCCCTGGGATTTATTTGGGATCATCCCAAATCCCTGGGATTTATTTGGGATCGTTACCCACCCCACACCTCGGATTTGCCCCTCGGCCCCGGCTCCCCGGGCGGGATTTGGGAAGCGCAGCCGCCGCTCTGGGGATAACTCCGGGAATTCTCCCCGTGCTCAACGGGAGGCAGCTCCTCCTTTTCCCTCCTCCCCCGGCCCATCCCGAGGCCTCGGGGCTCAGCGGGATCGGGAATTCCGCAGAACCAGGTGATCGCCTTCGAGTGGGAGGAGATGCAGCGCTGGGACACGGACGAGGAGGGGATGGCGTTCTGCTTCGAGTACGCGCGCGCCGAGCGCAAACCGCGCTGGGTCAAGATCTTCACCCCCTACGTGAGTCACTCCTGATCCTGATCCTGATCCCGATCCTGATCCTGATCCTGATCCTGATCCTGATCCCGATCCTGATCCTGATCCTGATCCTGATCCTGATCCCGATCCTGATCCTGATCCTGATCCTGATCCTGATCCCGATCCTGATCCTGATCCTGATCCTGATCCTGATCCCGATCCTGATCCTGATCCTGATCCTGATCCTGATCCCGATCCTGATCCTGATCCTGATCCTGATCCTGATCCCGATCCTGATCCTGATCCTGATCCTGATCCTGATCCCGATCCTGATCCTGATCCTGATCCTGATCCTGATCCCGATCCTGATCCTGATCCTGATCCTGATCCTGATCCCGATCCTGATCCTGATCCTGATCCTGATCCTGATCCCGATCCTGATCCTGATCCTGATCCTGATCCTGATCCCGATCCTGATCCTGATCCTGATCCTGATCCTGATCCCGATCCTGATCCTGATCCTGATCCTGATCCTGATCCCGATCCTGATCCTGATCCTGATCCTGATCCTGATCCCGATCCTGATCCTGATCCTGATCCTGATCCTGATCCCGATCCTGATCCTGATCCTGATCCTGATCCTGATCCCGATCCTGATCCTGATCCTGATCCTGATCCTGATCCCGATCCTGATCCTGATCCTGATCCTGATCCTGATCCCGATCCTGATCCTGATCCTGATCCTGATCCTGATCCCGATCCTGATCCTGATCCTGATCCTGATCCTGATCCCGATCCTGATCCTGATCCTGATCCTGATCCTGATCCCGATCCTGATCCTGATCCTGATCCTGATCCTGATCCCGATCCTGATCCTGATCCTGATCCTGATCCTGATCCCGATCCTGATCCTGATCCTGATCCTGATCCTGATCCCGATCCTGATCCTGATCCTGATCCTGATCCTGATCCCGATCCTGATCCTGATCCTGATCCTGATCCTGATCCCGATCCTGATCCTGATCCTGATCCTGATCCTGATCCCGATCCTGATCCTGATCCTGATCCTGATCCTGATCCCGATCCTGATCCTGATCCTGATCCTGATCCTGATCCCGATCCTGATCCTGATCCTGATCCTGATCCCCATCCTGATCCCCATCCTGATCCCCATCCCAATCCCGATCCTGCCCAGAATTCCTTGGGAATGGGGAGTCCTGATCCTGTCTGGAATTCCCTGAGAATGACGTGGGGAGTGTCCTTATCCTGCCCGGAGTTCCTTGGGAATGGGGAATCCCAATCCCACCCAGAATTCTTTGGGGAGTCCAAATCCTGTCTGGAATTCCTTGGGAACGGGGTCAGGAGTGTCCCAATCCCACCCGGAATTCCATGGGAATGGAGAGTCCCGGTCCTGTCTGGAATTCCTTGGGAATGGGATCAGGAGTGTCCTGAATCCTGCCTGGATTCCTGGAGAAATCCGGAGAAATCAGAGAACTGATCCCAAAAACTGATCCCAAAAACTGATCCCACAAACTGATCCCAAAAACTGATCCCAAAAACTGATCCCAGCAGAGGCTGGTTCTGCCCTGGAATTTCTGGCTCCAACACAGAGCTGCTGCCTTTTCCCTGGAACTCCTCATTCCTCCCTGGAATTCCTCTGGAGCTCCTGGAGCCGCTGGATCCAGAACCTCCCAGCAAGATCCAGGAGTTCCCAATTCCACCCTGGATCCTTCCCACAACTCCCAGTTCCCCTCTGGATCCCCTGGATTTTCCTGGATCCTTCCCACAACTCCCAGTTCCCCTCTGGATCCCCTGGATTTTCCCAGGATTTTCCCTGATTCCCGTTTTTCCCTGGCAGTTCAATTACATGCACGAGTGCTTCGAGCGAGTGTTCTGCGAGCTCAAGTGGAGGAAGGAGGTGAGAATTCCCAACTTTTCCCATTCCCAGGCGGTTTTCCATGGGAAAAGCTTCTCCTGCTCCATCCTGGCTCCCCCTGGATCATCCCAGGCTGGGGAGGAATTCATGGAGCAGCTGGAAAAGGGAGCTGCAGGGGTTGGGATTGGGAATTAAAATTGGGATTGGAATTAAAGTTGGGATTGGAATTAAATTGGGATTGGGGATTTAAATTGGGATTGGGGATTGGAATTTGGATTGGAGTTAGGGTTGGGATTGGGATTGGGATTTAAATTTGGATTGGGATTGGAGTTTCAGTTGGGATGGGGGTCAGGGATTGGGATTGGGGTTGGAGTTGGGATTGGGGTCGGGGTCAGGGCGCTCCCGGTGTGTGGGAGCCCCGTGCTGGGATCGGTGCCATTCCCACATTCCCAGAATTCCCAGCATTCACAGCATTCCCACATTCCCAGAATTCCCAATTCCCAATTCCCCCATTCCCAATTCCCACATTCCCAGAACTCCAACATTCCCACATTTCCAATTCCCACATTCCCACATTCCCAGAATTCCCAGAATCCCCCTATTCCCACATTCCCAATTCCCACATTCCCAGAATTCCCAATTCCCAGAATTCCCAATTCCCCCATCCCCCCATCCCCCCATCCCCCCATTCCCCATTCCCAATTCCCAATTCCCCATTCCCAATCCCCAATCCCCAATCCCCAATCCCCAATTCCCAATTCCCAATTCCCCCATCCCCCCATTCCCAAATTCCCAATTCCCCATTCCCAATTCCCCCATCCCCCCATCCCCCCATTCCCACATTCCCAGAATTCCCAATTCCCAATCCCAAATCCCCAATCCCCAATCCCCAATTCCCACATTCCCAATTCCCCAATTCCCCAATTCCCCAATTCCCAATTCCCCAATTCCCCAATTCCCCAATTCCCAATTACCCCATCCCCACATTCCCAATTCCACATTCCCATTCCCCAATCCCCACATTCCCAATTCCCAATTCCCAATCCCAAATCCCCAATCCCCAATTCCCAATCCCCCATTCCCAGTTCCCAATTCCCAATTCCCAATCCCCCATTCCCCATTCCCCATTCCCAATCCCAAATCCCCCATTCCCAATTCCCCATTCCCATTCCCAATCCCCAATTCCCAATTCCCAATTCCCAATTCCCAATTCCCCATTCCCATTCCCAATCCCCAATTCCCAATTCCCAATTCCCAATTCCCAATTCCCAGAATTCCCAATCCCCAATTCCCAATCCCCAATTCCCAATCCCCAATCCCCAATCCCCAATCCCCAATTCCCCATTCCCAATCCCAAATCCCCCATTCCCAATTCCCAATTCCCAATCCCACATTCCCAATCCCCAATTCCCATTCCCAGAATTCCCAATTCCCCATTCCCAATCCCCCATTCCCCATTCCCACAAATCCCCCTTTTCCCAGCAGGAATTCCAGGTCTCTCCCACCTTTCCCTGATCCCTTTTTCCTTCTTTTCCAGAACCTTTTCCATCTGGTCCGGTCACAGCAAAGGGACGCGGCCACTTAACCCCGGCAGCTTTTCCATCAATCCCAAAAAATCCCGCTCTTGTATTAAAGCCCCTCCCCCAACTAAATCTCATGAATTCCAAATCCATTCGTGCCCATCATCCCTACGGAATTCCGGAAAAAAAACAAAACCTGGGAAAAGCCACCTCAGGGGGGGCTCCTTTTTCCCGCTCGGATCCGGCTCCAGGCTGGCAATTCTGGGAATTTTTTATTTTCATTTTAAACAACTGGAATTAAAAAAATCGTTGTTGTGTGGGGAGGGAGAAAAAAGAAAAAGCAGGAAAATTCCTTGGGAATGTTCCATCCCTGCCTGGCGTCCGTGGGAAGAATTCCTTGGGAATGCCAAGGGCCGGGAGCGGATTTTTAATGGGATTTTCCGCCCGTTTTTCCTCCCAAATCCGGGAAAAACGTCCAAAAGGAGCAAAATTCCAGGGAAAAACTCCCGGCGCGAGGATCCCGCTGACGGATTCGCTTCCCCCGCTTCCTTGGGGAATTTGGGAATTTGTTTTTCCCAGGGATTGGGGGATCCCTGGATGGGGATGAGCAGATCCCGGGAGGGGAAAAAAAAAAAACCTGGAAAAGCCGATTTTCCCGATTTTTGAGCACTTTTTATCCATGGTTTATCCAAGCAGGAAAAATCACCTGGAAAAGCTGTTTTTCCATGGATTTTTCCGTGTTTTGGGAGGAAAAATCACCTGGAAAATCCATTTTTCCATGGATTTCAGTGGGATTTTTCCATGATTTGGGAGGAAAAGCCTGGAAAAGCCGTTTTTCCATGGATTTGAGCGGGATTTTTCCGTGTTTTTGGAGTTAAAAATCGCCTGGAAAATCCATTTTTCCATGGATTTGAGCAGGTCCAGGAGGCCCAGCAGGAAAAATCGCCTGGAAAAGCCGTTTTTCCATGGATTTGAGCGGGATTTTTCCGTGTTTTTGGAGTTAAAAATCACCTGGAAAATCCATTTTTCCATGGATTTGAGCAGGTCCAGGAGGCCCAGCAGGAAAAATCGCCTGGAAAAGCCGTTTTTCCATGGATTTTTCCATGATTTTGGAGGAAAAGCCTGGAAAAGCCGTTTTTCCATGGATTTGAGTGGGATTTTTCCATTATTTGGGAGGAAAAGCCTGGAAAAGCCGTTTTTCCATGGATTTTTCCATGTTTTTGGAGTTAAAAGTCACCTGGAAAAGCCGTTTTTCCATGGATTTGAGTTGGATTTTTCCGTGTTTTTGGAGGAAAAGCCGTTTTTCCATGGATTTTTCCATGATTTGGGAGTAAAAAATCACCTGGAAAAGCCGTTTTTCCATGGATTTCAGTGGGATTTTTCCATGATTTGGGAGGAAAAGCCTGGAAAAGCCGTTTTTCCATGGATTTTCCCATGTTTTGGGAGGAAAAATCACCTGGAAAATCCATTTTTCCATGGATTTGAGTGGGATTTTTCCATGTTTTTGGAGGAAAATTCACCTGGAAACGCCGTTTTTCCATGGATTTCAGTGGGCTTTTTCCATGATTTTGGAGGAAAAGCCTGGAAAAGCTGTTTTTCCATGGATTTTTCCATGATTTGGGAGTAAAAAATCACCTGGAAACGCCGTTTTTCCATGGATTTCAGTGGGCTTTTTCCATGATTTTGGAGGAAAAGCCTGGAAAAGCTGTTTTTCCATGGATTTTTCCATGATTTGGGAGTAAAAAATCACCTGGAAAAGCCGTTTTTCCATGGATTTTTCCATGTTTTTTGAGGAAAAATCATGTGGAAAAGCCGTTTTTCCATGGATTTGAGTTGGATTTTTCCATGTTTTTGGAGGAAAATTCACCTGGAAACGCCGTTTTTCCCAATTTTTGGGCTGGCCTGGAGCTGGTTCTGCCAGGGTTTGGGATGGATTTGGGAATATTTGGATCCAAACCCAGCCAGGAGCATCCCGACCTCATTCCCGACCTCTGGAATGGGCTGGAATTGCTCCAAAATTGGGATTTTCCCCAAAAATTCCTGTTTTGGGAAGGGTTTTCCCCACTCCTGGAGCCGGGATTGGGGAGGGAAAATCCCAAACCCTCGGCCGGGAATTAATTCCATTAATTGGATCCCTGAAATTAATTGGATTTCCGTTGTCCTCGGGAGCCCCCAGCCGTGGAAAACCCAGGAATGGGAGGGGAAAAAAAACTGGGAAAGGTTTGGGAACCCCAAAATTCCCCAAAAAATTCCCTTTATCTCCCAAATTTGGGTAAAAATCCCCGGAAAAAACCCAATTTTGATCCCGATTTTTCCCTCCATCCCCAAATTCCAACGGATCCAGGAGAACCGAACCATCCTGGGGATTTTTTAATCCAAAAAGAAAAGAAAAAACCTTGGAAAAGGGAGAAATCCAAAAGAAAAAAACCCCCAAAACCGAATCCCTGCCCCTCCCTTTTCCCGTTTTTCTGGCTGCTCCCGGCATTCCCGTTCCTCGGTTTCCCGCTGGGGAAAAACCTCGTTAGTGTAATTAATTGTAACATATTCTTTTAAATAAATTGATTTATTGAGGAAATTCCGGAGGGCCGTGGCTCCTTCTCCTGGAGAGGGGGAAAAGGGGGAGAGAGAAAAAAATCCGGGAATGGTTTCAAACTTCTGGATTTTGGGAATTCCGTGGGGATTTTATTTAAGGTTTGGTTTTTTTTTTTTGGGGGGGGGAGATTATTTTTATTTTTATTTTTATTTTTATTTTATTTTTATTTTTTTTAATTTTGTTTGATTTATTTCTTTTTTTGTTGTTGTTGTTTTTTGTTTTTTATTTTGACAGGAAAAAAAAAACCAAAAAAAGAAAAGAAAAGAAAGAAAAAAAAAGTGAATTCGGAAAGGAATTGCAATAAATAGCAAATAAATAAAGCCCCTCCCCCAACGCCCCCCAACCCCCCTCCCCCACCCCCCGGGGCACCGCTCTGGGGGGTCCCGACCCAGTTTGGGGTTCCTGTCCCAGTTTGGGGGTTCCTGTCCCAGTTTGGGGGGGATCTGACCCAGTTTGGGGGCTCTGACCCAGTTTGGGGGTCCTAACCCAGTTTGGTGGGTCCCGACCCAGTTTGGGGGGGCCCTGACCC